ACATATGTCGTCCACGGAGGTAAATTTATACAATTGATTATGTAAAGAAAAACTTGATTAATTTATTGATTGTCTTAACATCTTCAAATTTGTTTTGGATACCTCCATATGATAGGGCACTTACACTGCCGATTTGCTCATGACGTTAAAATGGTGCAGGCAGAGTCGCTATAAATGTCGGGAAAATTTAATAAGTAGCGTAACAAAGCACTCAAATAAGTATCAAGAAAAATATAAAATACTTTTTGTGTAGTGTGGTCATTAGAGCACAGGTAAATATATATTAGTCAAAGATCAGAGAGTAAGCTTTACTCTAATGTTCGAATGTAATCTTCTTGGGCTAGTCTAGACACTAGAACGCAAGAAGTTTAAATATTTATATATTTAAAATTCTTGCTAGACCGTCAAAAAGTTTATATATCTTTAGACTGTAATGGCTTTATTGATTTTCTTTAATCCAGTGACGTAGCATGGGTGTCTGCCGCCCGGGGTGGAAGACAATTTGCTGCCCCTCTTAATGATAATATAAAAAAATCTTTAAAATTGATGTATATTATATATACATAAATTTTCGGCTACAACTGTCATCATTATTTTGCATTATACAGGTTAGATTTTGACTGCACGGTTGGTCGAGTGGTTAAATTGTCGCCATTCAACTGCCCTCGGATTCAGTGTTGTGTTTCTATCCCCATAAAGGACAATTTTTCGTGTAATTTGCAAATAATAGTTTTTAGTCTGGGTGTTTGTCCCTCTTAACACAGGACTTGTATCCTAAAAAGCGGGCTACTCTTTTAAAAAACAAAAAGATTTGAAAAAAAAATTAACTAAACAACTGAACATCCATGAATAAAACTTTCTTCGAATTGACAAAGCATGGCGTACCTTCATAAAGGGACGTAATAAACAATATTGAACTTAATATACCTATATTACATATATTGCTGATCATAAGTCATAAACAATTCAAGCCCAAAATAAAATACGGGGAATCCCCATAAGTCAGTATAGATGGTGTTGCCATTCGCTATAATATAATAAGTAATGAAAAATTCCGTACTCTTTTCATTCGTTCCGAATTTATAGTTGCGGTAAAAATACGAATTGGTTAAAATATTAAAAAAATATATTTTATTGTTTCCTGTGAAATTTTGCCGCCCCCTAAAAAGTGCCGCTACGCTACGCCACTTCTTTAAGCATACCCATTGCCGGGTCAATCAAATTTGGCACATTAGGTAAAACACTAAAACTTGGCACCTTGGACGAAACACTGGAAAGACTGCTATAAAAATTATCACGAATTGAAAGCGCCCCTCAAAATACGTGCGCCATAGACGCTTGCCTAGTTTGCCTATATGGACGGGCTGGGCCTGTACATTGCCAAGAAACATAATTTGCTTCAGTTATTATTCTAAGCAACATACTTTACTCTTTGCATACCAATGATGAGTGCTTTATTATTCTGAGGTAAATATGTAATCTCGTGGTTAATTATTTCTAAAAAGAAGTTGTCTCTTAGACAACATAATGATTTCCAAGCAAAGATTCTCAAGTGCTCCCATATAATATTTGATAAGCACGGCCAAGAAAATTTGTGTTTTGTTTACCGATTCAGTTATTAAGAGGGCTCGTTCACTCAATATTAATAACTTTCAATTGGTTTTGTACAAAGAAATAACGTCCAAATAAGCTGTAATCAAAAATGGGAAAACAACATTTTCTAAGACTTTTGTAGAACGTGAATTTATATAATTTCTCGACAGAAAATATAACAAAAATACCCTTAAAATTTACCATTTTCTTTCATTTTTGTCGTTGTATTTTTTTATGAAGACCTTATTTTATGAACACTTTAGTTACTTTGTAGCTTTATTTAGCACTTTTACAAAAATCGTTATAGTTTGAGAACGATTCATAAAAAACAATTATTGCCATGGATTTCGACTTTTTCAATCCCTATCTATTTTATTGATGGACGCAATAAAACACAAGGATTTACTTTTGGTTTTACGCCCCCATTAACGTTACATTTTGATTTAAGGCGGTTTGAATACATTTTTAGTGCAAATCTACATTATAAGTATTGATATACCATAAAATATCTTGGCTAAATGTGTATAACATTAAGGTACCTACATTTCTTAATTTTAAATATATGTAAGTAATGAAAATACCACTCCATAAAAAATCATAATTTATTCTCCATAGAAAATTGTCTTAATTTTTTTAATATTTTCTATAATATCAGAAAATTATGGGCTTAAATCGATCACAATATTATAAATAAAATATGCGCAGACAATTGTTAAATTTCAGATAAGTACTTAAAACTACTTTTAGTAGAAAATTTTAATAATGTTACATTTTATGTAATAACAACTATCACATTAAAACTATAGGTATCTAAAAATAATTTACTATGACATAATATAAATAGTTAAGTAAATAGGCAAACAATACTCATCTCGTCTGTCATTCTATTTTGGGAACCAATAATTAAATGATTATGTGACCTTTGCATAAATAAAAATATTTTCAAATTAAAACACTATGCCCGTATTTATTGTGTAAATTAGATAATACAAAAATGGTGGAGTTGTCTTTATTTCAAAAGTTAACCGAATGAGTGTTTAGTTCTAAATCGATATCGAAGTGTAAAATTTAACATTTTGTAATAATCATCAATGCCATAATAGTACATCGTCATTACAATCTCAATCAAATAAAACCTACTTCAAAAGGTAATACATCACCATCACCAGCCCTTTTACGTCCCCACTGCAGGGGCTCAGGCCTTCCTTATGGATGGTTAAGGAGGATGGGCCATGACCCTCCACGCTGGCCCAATGCGGATTGGAGGGTATTAACGACTGCAAATGCAGCCGGGACCAACGGCTTAACGTGCCTTCCGAAGCACGGAGTAGCTCGAGATAATAATTTTTGGTCACCCATCCCGTGACCGACCCTTGCGAAAGTTGCTTAACGATTACGATCGCGGGCCGCGGCGCTTATCCACTACGCCACCGAGCTACACAAAAGGTAATAAATGAATGTTATTCAACCTCTTAATGCTGTGGCAACGCTATATTGTAAATTGGGTAAATTGTAATATTTTTAAAATGTAAACAAATCAGTATTTAGATACACCAAATATTTTTTTTATAAATATATGTGGCATTTAAATTAATTTTGGCACAGTGTTTTATATAGTATAGAAGAAAAATTCAATTATGTACTTTATTGTTTGAATTCACCAAAAAACAGTTCGAGGTTGTTACAAAAAAGTCTAAAGAAACATTTATTTAATATAACGGAACAGAGTTCGGAAAGTAAAAAGAATTTGTAGCACAGACTACAAACATTTAAAACAAAATATAAATGTGATAACGTAAATAAAAGAATATAAATATATAATGAAATAACCTGTTACTGCGTGCCATTCGCTTGTTTGTAATAAGACTCATTTTTATGGTTCCTTCTATTGTAACAGCAAATAAATAATTATTAACTTTATATAAAAATTCTAATTCAAATAATAATTTATATGTTCTTTAAAAAGACCTAAATATAGGTCTAACGATCATATATATTCATGTTTGAAAATACATTCATATGGAAGTTATATTAATGTGTGTGTTTTATGGAACTAAGTATTCATAGGATATTGGTTAACAGGTTGAAAGTAATTAAATAAACTATTATAAATACTTACTTATCAAATGTGTATTCCCTTTGGTATTAAAATATTTACTTAAATTAATTTAAAGCGATTAAAGCTAGGGATATAAGGGTAAATTGATATTATATAACCTCTCTCTCTCCCTTGCATACTTCTATAATGATTTCCGTGTACGACGTCTGTTTTTTGATAAAAAAAATATCCGTAAAAAATGCTTAAAATGCAATGGTATGAAAATGTGTGTAGTTACGTAAAAATATTAAGCCGAAGAAACATTTTTTTTATATTAATATTAAGTACAAATATTTTAAGGGTATTTGGAGTGTATCGCTTACGACATCAACAACTTTTAATTAGTATTAAGTTTTACATCTTTACTTGATAAATAGATAAAAATACGAAATATAGGTAGCTATAGGTATACGTATAGATATATGTAACAAAAAATATATAGGTACAATCACAACAATCCTCATTATCCTAAAACTTACGATTATATTTATGTACCTGTACGAATTACAATAGCATCATATAAAATTTAATAGTAATATATTATATATTGTATAATATAGATGTCATTATATTAACAAAGATTGTATTTAAAATAGGTTAATTTAGTGTTTTATTATGCAGCAGTTATTAGTTATTAGAATATATTTTGAAAGGATTCTTATCAAATAAAGAAATTAAATATTTTAAGTACGTAAGAACCGAGAAAATCTTTCTTACGTACTTAAAATATATACTTTGACAGCATTCATTACTAATTAACTCGTATTAATCGTAATTATAAGTGAAGCATCTCTTAATTTATACTTAGAAAGTATTGTTAATTCCGTTAGTATTTAGAAGAATATTATATTTATAATTAAAATTATTTAAGAGAGTATCACTAGCTCTCCATTTATTTATCAAAACATTTAATTATCTATCTGCCTATGAATTTTATTCATCACTTAAAAAGTTCTAACATATTCTTCATGGTCACGATCATAATATATTAAAAACTAATAATAACGATACTTCCATAAAAAGTAAAAAAAATCGCTAGTGGAGCGTCTTTGAATTTGATCACTTCGAAACATCAAATACTTGCAAACTTATAATATTTCTGTTTCAAACATACAGGCGTATAAGAATGGAAAATAACACAAAAGGTTCAATTTTTTAGTTCCTTGTCAGAGAATAGTTCAATTTTAAGGATAAAACGAATCCTAAAACTCGAGGAATGTACATTATATTGGGGTTAAATCGAATCGACGATGACGTAATCGGGCTATTCGTTGATATATGTGCATTGGTTGTATCTTAATGAATTTCTCTAAGAATAGAATGTGAGTACGGATGTGTGGTTGCCGCGTACGAACAGCATCGGCGGCAGATCGCGGCTCATCACCTCCAGCCACGCCATATACAGCGGTGCCGACACAGACCCCTACACAAAAAAATACATTATAGCTCAGTGGTTACAGCAGTCGCCCTGGGGGTCAATTCTACTAAATAAATTTTGTTTAAATCGAATCGAAAACGGATTTTCGATTCGATTTAAACAAAATTTATTTAGTAGAATTGGCCCCCTGATTGCGAAAGACATGGGTTCGAGTCCCATCTCAGAATGCCAGGGACAATGTGGGTTTTTTAAGTATTTTTCAATAAATCATTTTTTATAATAGTATTGTGAATGCATAATTGATCAAATAAAATATTTTAAAAAAATACACTTATGAGGAAAAAAAATTCAATGCGAATAACATTTTTTTAACACCTTTGCTCGTAAAGCTGATGTAATTCCACCGGTTTTAAATATGTTAAGCGGGTCATAAAAAACGCTCGTGTTACCTAAGCAAATAGTTAAGTTATAGTCCATACAAATTCTATAACAGTATTATTTGCCATTTCGCGCGCTGTCGCTATTCAAATTTCGAACTTATCGCCGCGCGGCGCCAGTCAGTAGGCAGCGCTAGCGCGCTGTTAAAATGGCGGTACATTCAGCAGTGCAACAGTGTACATTCACAGATTTAGTTTATTTAATGTTTTTTTTTTCTGTTTCCTCGCAAATGTGTTAAAAAACGTCGTACGGTATACGTGCGTATTGGTTATAACATACTCGGCTCAATTACGCCCTCGCCTCAATTACGCCCTCGCCTTCGGCTCGGGCTGAAATTCCGCCTCGCATGTTTTAACCATCATAACGCACTAATATCGTAATGTACTATAAAGTATTCTTAGTACGCTAATATTAAATAGTGATTATAAATAAATTAATAGAAGACCACATTAATTAGACCTCAAATTAAGTAGCCTTTTAGCACTTGTATTGTAGAAAACAACGACCGTACTACAATAACCAGAAACGAAACATTATAGAAAATATTCTACATTGACCTGACTAGGAACCGAACCCGGGATTTCACAGATCGTGACATCTAAAATCGGTGTACGAGCTACTCGGTGATGGAGGTGGCTAAATCTAACTCAGTTTAAAGTATTTCTACCATAGCGACTTTGTTTTATACTATGTAGTGAGTTGTTATATAAAATGTTAACCTGATTGTCGTATAGTATAGCAGCAAAGGCTGTGTGAGTTTTGAAGGTAGAAATAACTTAATGCTTTCTTCTTATTATTTTTTTAAATATTATATATATTTTCTTACAGGTGGAGCACTACTAAAGTTATAAAGTTCACCGGTCTAAAATCTGTAAGGTAAAAAATACATAACCTTGAGCAGGCATCTTGGTGTTTTTTATATTAAAAAGATTTTACCAGCTATGACCTTGTCTATTTAGCTATGGCAGCGCAACAACGCAGAATAAATTTGAAAGGCCCTCTATTCTACCTCGCATTCACAGGCATTTTTTAATAAACAATCATATATTTCTCTAATTTTTATATTTACCTTCTATACATAGTATAAAACATTTTACTATGTATGCTATGCAAAACAGCGGTTTTTAGGAACAAATAGAGTTTTTCAACAGGAATTATATGTTCAGTACAGGACCATTTAGGCGAAGTCGCTGGTGCGAATTTTGTATTAAATATTTTTAAACTTATTTCTACGTCCCTGGAATAAACGAGCCCTAAACGAGACTTCTAGACATAGTTATTTTCCACGTGTTTTCTATATGTATGTGCAGGGCCGGATTTAGCCACGTAGCAAAAGTAGCAAATGCTACGGGCCTCGCGTGTTTGGGGGCCCCGCGCAATTGGGAGCCTCGTTAAAGTTCATAGCCAATTAATAAATTTTTCAAGTCAGTGTTAAATAACGTAAGATAGAAAATAAGACAAGCTTTTGAATAGTCATATTATTAAGTTTTAACATAAACTGATACATAAAACTCAAATCACAGATTATTTGTTTCAGGGGTGAGGGAAGGGTGATTTGCTACGGGCCCCGCTCTGGCTTTATTCAGCACCGTGTATGTGACTTTCTTAATGTCATCAATATTTTAGGTAACTATAACAAAATTTGTTTGATTATATATCATCATAGCATGGTGAATTAAAAAATAAATCAAATTACAATATTAGCCGATTTCCCGTGAGTCAACTGAAGAAAAGCAGAAGAATTTTTAAAAATCGGTTCAGTAGTTTCGAAATCCATTCAATGAAAACAAACAAACAATTTTTTCCTCGTTATAATAAAAGAACTTATGTATAGATTCATATAATTCTACTTGACAGACCTTTCTGGGCATAGGAAGAGACATGACTACGAGGCGCGCGGCGCTGGAGTTGGCGAGTAGAAGTTCCCTGAGCCGCAGCTGTCGGTTGGTTTTCTCCGCTAGTGTCAGTAGCTCTGTTTCATTTATGCGACATGCTGGTGAAATCAAACGTACAACATCAGCTATCTATTAGTAAAAAATAGAGTAAAGTAACCAAATATGAATGTATCCCTAAGACGTAATGTTCCTTCTGAAATTGATCTTCATAGGGAAAAATTTGTATAAATTTTCAATAGGTTTATGTTAATATTTATCTACGGTAAGACGAGCTTTAAAGAAGGAATTTTAGTTTGAATAGTTTGATTGCCTGTTATCACTTTTTTGTATCTAAACTAAATATTGTAATGGAAAAAATACTACATATTAAAGTAACTTCTCAGTGTACCGACTTATTATTGAAGCAAAACAGGAACAAAAAATAGTCCTAGCTGAGTTTCGTGCCAGTTCTTTCAGGTATAAAGGCTCATATTACCGCTACAATAACAAACCGAATGCATGGTCATGTTGTGTCTAAAAAAAAGTGACGAAAGAAGACGAAACAAAGTTTTACAAATAATATGAAAATTGTCTTATACTGAACTACCTTCGTTTGTCGTTTCATCAGAAGTAAATTTGTGGATAAGGTCATTGAAAAAGTTCTTGCTTTCTTCTTGCGGCGCTTCAGTGATGTCCTGCACCATCGTCAGCGATGAGTAATCTATCCGGAACTTTGACAGCAAATTGGCCATACTAAACATATCATAAAATACATCAATTAAGCAATCATATAAAATTCAATATTTATTAGGCACATACCAGTAAATGAAATAAGTCATACTTGAATAGGAAGACACACTCATTTAATCTAAAATTGGATGATCACGATTGATAAAATTTGTTCAAAATTTACTAAGCCCCATCGTCCAATTTTATCTAGTCGTTAAAGTTTTGAAGTTTGATGGTTAGAACGTTCTGTTTCCGAAACATTTTGCCGATTTGCCGAGGTAAAACTGCCTTCATAAAGACTGCTTTTTCCATACGTTCTGTATAGAAAAAGTAGTCTATATCCCGTGCTTCGGAAGCCGCCGTCCTTTCAGTCGTCATCTTGGTTGAAATTGCAGTCTGGACTGGACATCGTGACATGACTGGACCCGCGTACATTCCAATAAGAACGTCTGTTCCCCAGCGGTGTGGACATTAATATGTTGACGATAACCCAAAAGTTTTAAATCGGACTAAACTTACTTTCTCTCTTCGAGTTCCATTTCATGGCGTCGGTTAGCGAGCGCGAAGATCCGCAGCTTACAGTTAGCCCACGCAGACCGCTGTGAGATGATGTACGGCAGCAATATCGTCAGCCCACCGTCGTCATACAACCACCATACGTCAATAGTTCCTTCTTCCTTATGATATAAGAATAAAAAATGCTTTAAAAAATGCGAATCAAGAAGTGTCACAACAAAGAAGTTGATAAGGTTACTCCTTTTCAAACTTTTTATTTTCCTGACAGCATGCAATACTGGCATAATCCAAAAATCTGTATTATTTCTCAAATTGCAAGTTTTAGAAATACATTACCACACAGAAGTCAATGTTTTGCATTTAGTTTTTTTTTTTATTTATGTACTTTTTATGTATGTTTGGAAAAAATGCCATATTGAAACTAAGCCAATCAGCATGGCGATACTAAAATATTTGCTACTAGTGTGCTGAATAAATAAATTAAAAACGCGTAAATTAAAGCCTATGTATGATCTAGTTTCCCCATAAATGAAAAAAAAAAAATCGGTCCAGAAGATTAGGAGCATATTCAATACTTACAAAGAATCAATTCTTTCTGCTTTATTATATTAATATAAATTACCACTGGATACCTACACATGATAAAACTACTAAATATAGTTGAAATCGTTTTAGTGTGGCTTCAACTAAATAATCAAAATAGTAATCTGAATCCACGGAAATACTGTGATTAAAATCTTTGGATTTCAAATACTCACTTGTTTTCTTTGAAATATTGTCATTTGAGATAGCTGATCTTTTGATATTTCAACACCGTTGGAAGCTTTGTAGATTATCTGACGGTGTATATCTGTCATCTTCTTATCTTTTCTTTTGTCTTTTGTTTCTTTTTCCGACACCGTGAACGAACGCGATGTACTCAAAGTCAATAAATCTGTAATAGAAAGTTAATTGACTCAAATAAAATTCATAAATTACGCTAGGTCGAATAAGCTTTCCGCCAGCGACGTCGCTGCACCGGCATGATCCAGGAAAACGACTTAGATTACCTGCTTATTTTTCAACAATAAGCTGTTTTTAGAGTTCTGTATCCAAAGAGTAAAAATGGGACTATATTACTAAGACTGTATTTTTGTTGTGACTATAACAGTGTATACTAAAAACAGAATAGTATTTATTTTTAAAGGGGTCTTCCACGCAAAAAACGTGATATGTTGCATTTATTATTTGATAGATAATTTTGCCTGAACGTTTACGAAAATATGCTCTGTAGTAGCGAAAAAGTAACAAGTGCTTGAAAAATTCGACAGTCCTTTTAGGTCCTGGGTAGCACAGAGGTTAGAGAAGTCGCCCGGATTGCGAAAGCTCGTGGGTTCTAGTACTATCTCAAAGTGCTAGGAATAAAGTGAATTTTATAAGCATTCTCATTAAGAATATTTTTCAGTATAGCATTGTGAATGCAAAATTGTTCAAATATAATAATAAAAATTGTACGGAAACCTTCGACCTTTTAGCAAATGTCGGTTCTCTGAACGACAGAATAAGATACCTACTGACTGTTTATTATATTTTCACAATACTACAGCGATAAATATATTTAATGAAAAATGATTTAATTCACCAGCCCCAGGTACCACAAGATGAGACTCGAATATACCTTTAGAAACTTTGGCTACTGCTTTTACCATTGACCTATTAAGAAAAATTTATGGTGAACTTTTAATAATTTTTCACTAAAATACTTATTACTGACTGGTTAGATTGTGCCTGCTGGATGGTTGCGAGTCCGATGAGCGTATGTCTAGGTCGCTGTCGGCGTGCATGATGTGCGCGGGCCCGCGGCGCACGCGCAGGTCTCCGCTGCCGCTGGAGGTGGCGGTGAGACCGCACGACCCGCCCGTACCCTCCTCGCTGGCGGCGCCGCAGTCCAGCCCACCAGACACGCGGAGGATCGCCACCGCTAAGCGATTCTCGAACGCGGTACTGTGTCAAATTAAATAAAAACGTGTTTAGATTTCTAATTACTTTGAATATTCATTATTGTTAGACGAAAAATATCGACATGAACTTCACTGTTTATAGATTGCATTACGGCCATCACTATTTGTCAGTGAGCTGTCACTGAGCGCCTCTGACCGCCGGGCGTGTGGATTTATTTATTTATTATGTATTGTATTAAAAAAACCCATACGTCGAACTTAAATCTTAGACATTCTGTACCAGTCAACCTGAACATATTGGAGACCAGTTATAAGGTTATACGGATTGTTATGACACTATTCGTATCTAAACATTATAATATAAAATAAATTATTTGAACTAGAAAAAGTCTTTATTATAAGTGTAGATCATCATCACAAGTTCAACGAAGAAGTGAAATAGAATCGAGCTCTTCAAAAATTTTATTAAAAATATGTGCCTCTTTATATACATGGATGGCATGGATTTGGTATTAACAAAGACAGTTTTTGCTGTTTGTTTGTGTCCTTTCGGTATTTGATTTTACGGGATAAATAAAATATATTGATGAATCATAAGATTGAATCACATGGGTTTTTGTCACCTTTTTAGTGAGACTAAAAAGGTATTTGTGTGATTAGATAAAATTATTTAACTTACTGTAAAACGTTGAAGTAAGAGTTGAGATCTTCAGGAGGCGCGAGACTCCAATCGGCTTTATACCCCATGAGTAACACGTTGGGCGCCAGTCTACCAAGGCCCGCTGCTTGGATGAGCGCGCGCGCACCCAACTCGAAGTTGAATCCGTGTACTTCGCTACAGAACGCGCGCACTTTACGGTCCCGAAGCCATTCATCACTAGTGCGCAAGCGAGCTGACCGTTCTTTATATGAAAGCTTTTTCTGGTTCAATAAAAATATTTATAATTAAAGATCTACCAAATATTGAAAACTTACAACAATGTTTGCCTTAATTTGGAAGAAATGAAAGGCAAAATATTTCTAGTGTTTTATTGTAAAATGAACATGTAACTGAAATTTTAAATAAATGAAAATACGTTACCATTGATATAATCCATTTGTTTAATTGATTTCTCTTGAATTTAATATATCGATGTTAAATGTCATTTCCCATCGTGAAAGTTTATCAATTTTATTGTAATGTGATACTTTAAATAGATGTTGTTTGTTTTTTTAGCAAATGATGGCATTTAAATCTATATTAAAATATGTTTCTCAAACCTCAGTAATATCTCCGACAATCATGAGCGAGCCAGCTTTAGTGATGAGGTTTCCTAGGTCTACTAAAGCAGGGCGAGCCTGAGGGATTCCCCCTAGCACCAGCAATTGTGGCCAGTAGTTTTTCACATGCTCGCCTGTTCGCGCCAAACTGTGGGCACTTGACAAAGCTGTCTTGTACATCTGTGCTTGAGTGCTGCTGCCCCAATTTACATCTGTCAAACAGAATTTTAGTTTACGACAAGAAATTATATAATAACTAAAAGCATTAGATTTATGTAATCTATGCTAATAGCTAATATAATAAAAATTAACTTGGTGATAATGAATCATATTTTATGAAATTAGCCTTGAATATATCGATTTCATAATCAACTCACACACATTAATTGACCAATCTCATAATGTGTATACCTATCATAAAATTAATAATATGTAAGTTATAAGTAAAAAGTAGAAGTGATTTTGATACGTCATTGAGATTCAGATTACAGAATGGTGAAACTGCCAGCAGTTTGGGATTAGCTACGATGATAGTGACATCTAGGACCGTAGGAATACCCGTAACTAGAAAGTATACGTAAATTCCTAATTCAGAATAAAGTATTAAAGCTTCTATATGGACGCTGGAAAGTAAATACTTAGTAACCCGCAAAACCAAAATTGTTCTTCAGAGCAGAAAAACTTTATTTTTATCGAAAAATTAATAAACCCGATGTTATGCTAGCAACATTGGCCCGAAGTAGCAATCTTACTAACCAGAAATATAAAATTCGATATTTCTATACGTTACTGGAAATCCTCGCACGCATACTACTTTCTAATTATTTCATAATAAATAAAGAAATATCTCAAACTTATTTTTTATTTAAAGGAACAAATATTAAATAAAGCCACTGACAGCTCAAAAATCGTATCATTTCATATACATGATATATATCGGATCAATATCAAATATCGGATATTTTGATATTTATAGTAAATATCGGATTTTTACGAACCCTGGTTGAAACGTTTCAGTAATTTAACATACATACCAGGCTTGCGGTAGTGCACGATGAGATACAGCGTGAAGAAGATGGCGAAGGTAACGAGTGACATGATCCAGCTGATCAGCAGCATGATGGCCACGCACATCAGGAAGCCGAGCAATGATACCCACACATTGTAGTACTGCAACCAAATTATTACCGTTAAAATTAGATGAGTAGTACCTACTAGCTGGTCAACACACAGCGATGACGGATGTCTTGGCTTATTCATAGCTATAGAAAAAAGAAATAACACTATTTTTAAATAATCTTTCAATTATTTCTTTGTTAAACCTACCTATATACAAATAAAATTTAATTTACGCTGGACAATTTTTCACATTGACCTAGTCAACTAAGTTGAGTGATTGATTTGATTTATTAATTTATGATGGTCCATAAATCCGTAGTTCAATGTGTTTCATTAATATTGCTAATATTACAGCCATAAATGTCATAGATGGACAGATATTCTAGTATAGATATACAGACAGATGTAGGTATTGATGCTCACCCTAAAAGTAGGCCTCCAGCCGAGTGGCCTCACCAAGGCCGCGTGGAAGGTGCAGAAATTTATTAGAGCGTATGAAGTCAGGTAGAAGTTGGATATCAGAGGCGCGATAGTGTTCAAGTCAGCTGTGTACAACAATTTTCCTTTTAGTTTTTTTTTTTAATTTCTTAGAAGATTGCCAAATTCAATATTTGCTTATATATTGATATACCTATAACAACATAGAATTGAGAAGGCTCGAAGCAAAGTTTGAGAAACAAAAATTTTTTACAGGTGAATAAGTTTATATTATACTTAAGTACTAGTCAATTCCCACAGTCTGCTGAATCAGTTCATGTGATAAATTTAAGATAAAAAACATATGCAAAAATATGTGTAAAATTTTTAATAAGTATTATGTGAGCCTTGAAGAAAAACGATAAGTATAGCTATCCGTATATCTCTGTCTCTTTTCCGTTTATTACTAAAAATGTATAAAGTAGGTAGCCCCGGATCTATGAATTTTTCTGCAGCAATTGCCTATCCACTCGTCGTAGGGTCAGTGGTCTCGTAATAACACGTGAAAACGATATATATGTCGTTTATTTCAACGCTCACATAATTCTGTGTTTTTGTCTGTTTTCTCGTCTGCTCTAAGAGCAGACTATACTTACCAATAAGTAGGAAAACAAGTGACACAAAGAAGGTGAGCACATATCCTCGATAAGGTTCACCGTGGCGGCCATAGGGCTTAGAGAAAAATATGAGGCCTGGATAGATGCGGTCAACGCCCAGCGCCTGGATGAGTCTCGGCACCGACAATAAGTTGGTAAGGGCTGTAGACAACGTCGCCGCCCAACACCCACCGTAGATTAAAGGACCCCACGCTGCCATTAACTGCATCACCTGATGGAATAGCCAGCATATTATAAACGATTCCGAAACAAAAAACAGTAAAGTCTTCAGTTTCAACTGAATTTGAGAATAAACTTAAAATTTCAAAAGGTACGATTACCAATAGTAAATTCGGCTTCGAGGCATTCATACTCAAGAACAAGTTTAGACCTTCATCATCATCGTCAGCTCTGTTATTTCTCCACTGCTGGGGCTCAGGCCTTCCTTATGGATTGGTTAAAGAGGATGGGCCATGAGCTTCCATGCTGGCCCAATGCGGATTGTAAGGTATTAATGACTGCAAATACCACCGGGATTAACGGCTTAACGTGCCTTTCGAAGCACGGAGTGGCTTGAGAAAATTTTTTTGGTCACTCATCCTGTGACCGACCATTGTGAAAATTAACAACAACGTTCGCGGGTTGCGGCGCTTATTCACTATACCACCGAGCTACACGGTCAAACCTTCGTTAAAGTTCAATTAAGTAAATTAAACTGTGAAAATCATTCGATTATCGGGATTCGATGTAGTTTGGAATAAAGTAAGTAGTTAATGAATGTGAAAGTGAACCACAATACCGAAGTAAGAATTTCAAAGTCGAAACATAACACGTTTGTGTAATACCTAAATATTGGTAAGGATTTGTGTTAAGAAATCCTTAACGGTATTATGAGGCATTACGTAAAACATACAAATATAGAAGTTGAACACAAACTTTCCTCCTACGTAAGAAATTGATGCCTAATGGATTACCCATATTATTAAGCTTTTATAAAAAGTTGGCAGACGCCTAAATACGTAGGAAGCCGGATACAGTTAGACTTTTATAATTGCCTGTGTAACCAAACTAGATAGTACGAGTATATGCGTGGCCGCACACATTCGTTTTCCGTGTTCGATTTCCTGATCAGCCCTGCGATTCTGTAAAAATCCAGACCCGAATTCGAATTCACTCTTGTGTCCGAATTCACGTCATTTAGTGTAAAAACTAAATCTCGAAACTCACTTCACTTATGCTACGCAACGTTATTACCAATTCAAGGTTGAGCGTATGCCTCTTTTTGAAGTCAATTCGGACACCTGAGAGAATTCGAATTCGGGTTTGGAGTTTTACAGAATCGCAGGGCAGGTATTCCGACTCGTAGATCAAATAATTCTTTACACACGGACGCCGCTTTTTTCCGAAATAAAAATGAAACGAAAGTGTCGCTGTTTACTTTGCATGAAAGGTGCGCCTTCGGGCCTCTAAATCAGAACTCCTGATTAGGAAAATGAATGAATAGGGCCAGGCTCAGGCCTGACCGGTCTTACTTTTAAGTTTTTTTTTCCGTTTTGCCACATTAGATTATTGTACAATTTTTAATTTATCAATCAATTTATTTAATCCCAATAAATGATAAAATTTTAAAAAATATATCTTAGTTACGACTTAAAAAAAGGCTGTACGGTTTTTATTTGCTTGAGTTTCTTTACGATGTTGAGATCGAAACATGATTATATAGGTTACGATTTACAAATGTTACGATGATTCACGCTATATCTTATAGACATCTATAATAAACAAAAGAATCGAGCACATTACCAAATTAGCGTGATTTGTTATTGAATCTCACCGAGTAGCTATTATGGAGTCCGTATTTACACGTGCTGTTGAGGACACAGTTTGCCAGACCGCTTGTGTCGGTGACTGTCCCGTTGATAAGCACGAGCCCCGCCACGTCGCCGCTGGCATCACGTAGAGCTCCTCCACCAGAGAACAATACCATTAGGGCGTAGCTCAGCATAGAAATTAATAAGGACAGCAGTGTCCCTTTTGGTATTGCTGACGCGGGATCCTATATGATAAAACGATGTTATATTTAATATTTTGAAGTCGCTACTGTAGGGTTATTTAGAAAAATAATCAAGAATACAATACATTCATTTAAACCTAATGGTCGATTCCAAATAGTAAACTATTCTCTAAATACATTCTGAAGGCTCAAGTTTTTATGGTTCTCCACTACCTCATGAATAGAATTATTAAAATTTAAGGACTTATAAAATAAATAATTACTTATTATAGACTTGCATTGGGCATGTAATGCATTTGTCAATCCTAGACTAATATACCTAGATTCACCCAACTCGCCGTTACGTAGAAATGGCGTATATACAAAACATCTGTACCTACAGCTTTGCAAAAGTTATATCTTTCTCTTTTTTGGCAATAAGAGGTCTCAAGATCGAAAGCAACCTACTTATTCATATTTTGTCTTTGAGTCAACTTCAATTCAACTCTATAAACTTATACAATATATCATATAATACTTAATTACTTAAGTCATGGCAAAAATGGCAAAGTTACATTGAAGTTAATTCAGTGGTGATTGGGCAGAGGTCAATATAGAGCGGTCACTGTCCTGACCTAGATTCTTTATGTAGTGATGGTAAAACAAGAGACACGTGTATGTAATGAGAAAGCAATGACCGTAGTAGTTGTAGGTAGGGCAGAAGACCCGGCTTTGGCCACTGGCCCCTTTTAGGCCGTTTTGGGTCTCATGTCGTTCTAATTAATCTATAAGCAAATATATTACTTCATATATTTGGCAAAACTATATTGTTGATTGCTCTGATGTGTCAAAGCTCGCGTCTTCGTAATTTATAAAATGGCCAAAACCAGATCATAATCTAGAATGGCAATCTGCCGAAGCCGTACACAATTTAATCAACGCAAATGTTATGTGAATTGAGAATTAAAGTTTTTATTAGATTTGACATTGGTAAATCATACTAATCAATATATCAACAGCAATAATTGTAAAATACAATAATAGTAGTTCGAATTACAGTCAATTGACTTCAATGACTCGTCTCGTTACTCAGTTTATTTTAGTGACTGGTATATTCCCCAAATGGCTTAGGTCAAATACAATATACCGCGCGTCTTGTTTACATTTACATCAACCGATTTGTTTCAATTTCATTATAGTGTTTCTATACATAAAGATTGAATTAAAATAGATTTGTAACTACGCATCGTACCTGACGTAATATGAGAATTCCAAACTAAAATGACGTTTACTGATTGTGACTAATCAGTTTGTTAGTTATTAATATTGAGTCATAACTGTTTAATTTTCCTCTGACGTCCTTCAAAAGAGTTATCTCATTGCAAGTTTGCAACCATAATGTAATTAAGTTTTGTTTTATCATAAATTTAACGTCATGCCATTGATTTATGTGTCAATGAGGTTTTATACTACGTAGTAAGTCAGGCCGTCAGGCGTTACTCAATGAGGAAGTATTTTAAGAAAAAAAAAAGAAAGCACTAAGAAGCACCTCAACTCTACCAAAAGTTGATTTTTGCAGGAAACGAATGGATCAAGGATAGTAATTTTCGTTCCTTTTTGACTAACATATTAAAATCTGAAATTTGCAAAGTTCGAACTTAGATATCAATTCAAATACGAAAAAGTACAAATAGAATAGGAGTTCTAAATTGAGTTTTGAAAATAAATTTACTTTTATACATGAAAAAAAAAACCGGAAGTGTTGTCATGTAGAAATCAAAAAAGTATAGTAGCGACGTGTCGTTTGATTTCGGGGACTAATGTTTTTTTTTTAAATCTACCTAAATATGCTTGAACTAGTTGCGTAAGGTCGTGGGTTTGAGTCCCACCTCAGAGTGCCAAGACAAAGTGGATTTTTAAGCATATTTCTGTATAGCATTGTCAATGCAAAATTGATTAAATATAATAATTTATTCATATAATTTACAAAATGTTTTTATGACTACTTAATTACGAGCATGGTACATAATTGGTACAGGCCCAGAATGGAGGGAAGTGATAGAGGATTATTCTAAGGTAAGATTACTCAAGGAAGGAAGTAATAAGGTACAATAGGGGTAGCAAAAGAGAAGGAGAAGAATTAGATTCAGCAGGTGCTGTCAAGCAGGCGCGCTCGTCCAAAATCAAAGTGGTTGCGTTCCACTCACCGGCAGTCATGTCTTACCTACTCTACTGTAAGCTCTATTGTGTAAGTTTCTAGTTATCTATTTGACTTAATTCACACCGTCGACCGTAGTATGTGGAACGAGAATTGAATTAATGTTTATGGCTCTGTGGTGCTGTTGCCATCGATGGTGACGTCACTGTTTGTGATAATGTCTATCTACCTAAATATGCTAGCGATATGTGTGCAAGCCGTTGTTACAGTACAGGCACGTTGTAGGACTCGTGGCTTCCAACTCGGGATATCGATTACAACGACACGGTTATTGATAATTACGCCAGTTATATATCATACCTCTTGATAGATGTGAAAGAAAAGATCTTTTATTTCTGCATTAAATAATAAGAATCATATTTTAGTTGTATTGAATAGAGGTAAATATGTTTGGTTTTATTTCCTTCCTCAATATTTCCTTAATATTGACTAATGCAATAAATCTGTCAATGGCTTCCTATCTTTTATATGTTTAAATTTAATCATCGGCTCTTAATCATCTTTGCATGTACTGCAACATTGCTCCCATACTTGTTAGATAAGAGGAACACAGAGATCGAATCCATTGAATTTATACCATGAGTTTATCAAAGTGTGCTTGTAAAAGTAACCTAGGGGTGCTTCTCACCCTCCAGACTTTCTCTTCGTTTTAGTGGCAGTAGTAGATAGTAATAGATTGCATTATTCTAGGACATTGCTACAAAATTATTTACCTTGAGATCCCCTGAAATGTTGGCACCAGCCTGAATGCCGGTCACTGAAGGGAAGAAGATAGCGAAAACACTGAAGAAGTCTTGGTACCTCCCTTCGCTGAATCTAAAGTCTGAATTGAAGTTGTCCGCAAACGTCGTTGCTACGAAAAAAAATATAAACACTTAGTAAAATAAATAAAAAGTACGGCCTGAGGGTGAGCCTAAGAGAATTGTGTAAAAAACTCACCACTTAGTCCGACAAAACCTTGCGCTATTTCTTCGGTACTCTTGGGTCCCATGATAGTGCCCACAATGAAGTCTACCATAGCTCCCACTATGATGGCAATCAGAAAGTTCTATAAACAAGGATAGAATAGAACATAGAAAAATCGACATTAAAATGGAAATATGTACATACATTTGAAATGACTCTATCAAGATCAATACCAAAAAAATAAATACCTATTGAAAATATTGTATATTTTTATCCATACTATTGTAAAGAAAATTTTTTGTTTATTTGTTAGTTTGGATTGAATAGGCTCCGAAATTACTGGGCCGATTTTAAAATATTTCACCAACGGGCAAACATATTATATACGTGCATAAAGCTACCCCTTACATCCCTTGTGAGGTTTCTTGATCATGAAACACCCGGTGATCATGTTTTAAGATATTTATTATAATATTGGTTTATAACCAAAAACCGCCATGATTCTGTGTCACTGACTATATATATATATATATATATATATATAAGAGCGCGTAAAGCTACCCCTTACAGTGACATGGCTATAATTAACGCGCGCGAAGTCGCAGTAAAACAGTTAATTTGACATAAAAATAAATATTATACCAAAAGATATGACTGCCAATATAAGTAAGTACATCTACAGATTTCGATTATGCAAAAAACTTAGTATACCATTAGTAATAAATTAATAATTAACTTTGTACTACTATCGTGAAACTTTTCCATTAATAAAAGAGTATAGCGTGAGTAATCGTATTATAAACGGTGAACATCCACAATTATTAAGTAATCGCAATGTACATCTATCAATTATCATATATGGTCATAGACTTTTCACCTATTTGGTGACTTTTATAACTATGTAATATCAGAACGCAAATAAAATAAAAGCCTGTAACTAGGTTTCATAATATTCTGGCTGTTTTTTTCCGACTTCGCCTAAATAAATTATAGCTTATGACAGCCGCGTATGATGTAACTTCCCGTTGATGCAAGAATTGTCATGAGCGGATTAGTAATTTCCTAAATTAACCCCCTACAAAAAAAGTACCTATTGAAATAGATAGGGCGTATCTTTTAGCGTCAAATGCGTTCATTGTTTCATTTAGGTGAAAACCCTTTTATTCTCTAATTAGGTATTCGTAATATAATTTTCATAATTCCAATGACCAAAACGAAATAACTCATTCATTTCACGTACTAGCACTTGAGATATAATTGCATCTATCTTATCCTATTTACTACAATGTTATTATTGTTTCGTTTCAACTTTTACCTACTTAATTGAATACAATGCCGTCAAGATTGTTATATACCTACCTAAAAACATCTTTTAGTCATAGATAATACTGCAAAACACTGTTTTCATCATCATTTGTTTGTAATCGGAGGTGCAGTACATGAAATACAGACAATATTCTATACTTAGGTAGGTATATGTATACTTATAACGCCTGAAGCACAGCGCGAAAGAGAACCAAAACTGAAGCGAAGCGACACTGGTTAGCGATAGAGAAATGGCGCGGGTGTCGTGTGTGGGTAGTATGAGTATAATAGAGCGTTACACGTTATACATACCAAGTGGAACGAAATCAATTCATCTTCGTTTCGTGAATCGTGACTTTCGACAGAATTTCAGCAAATAGATTAGAACTTCGAAATCACTGTTTATTCTAAACAAATAGCAATTTTTTTTTTATATATTCAAACAAACTTGCTATTTATCTATCACACATGATTTATGATTAAATTCTCTTTATTATCTTTTAAAGTATCTTTTTTTTGTTTTTTTCAACAGAATGAATAGTAATTTTATTTGCATGTGGGGTTGTGGGCCAAATAAAAAATATTTACGGGAATTCTATTTTATTTTAATATTTAAACTCTATCATAGATACCGATACACACCTTTCCACATGCATATATCACAAACACACACACAGGACAGCAATTATAAAATTCAGAACAGCACTACGAAAAATGACGCGGTCTCTCTCTCTGTACTACAGGCGTAAGGGTTGAAGGTTTGTTTACTTGTCGAATGTGTGAGGCCGCCGCCTGCCGGACGAACACCCTATCATTAGGACAGAGAGGCCCCGCACGGACTAGCTTCCATAACATAAATTAATGAAGTTTTAAAGGTGAGAAGTAGTTATTAAAGGCACACTAACATACAATATTTTCAATCATAATTAAGTTTTAAAGTACCGTTTAATCACATAGCATGTTGAACGTAGAATTTCCGATAGGCATAAATGAAAAAGGCTAAGGAAAATTATTATTTTTGTAGCGACGGCAGATAGCGCATTCGCTGGTCGATCGAAAATTTGCCTCTGGCTGTGTCGATTTTATGACAACATATGTGAGATACGACAATACAGATACAAAAAACAGATACAACACTGTTTTTCTAGTGCGAAATTATGGATCCAATTGTTTATTTGCATCCTGAAAATTTTTAGTTAATAGAAATTTAGATACGACTTTATTATTATTTAGATATTTTTTGGTTTTTAATACTTACACTTCTTATTTTTTAGTTTTAAAACGTAATCCTGACAAGAATTAACAATTATTTGGATAATTACATTTGTGAATATGCAAGTATTTTAATTTTATAGTTAACAGATTTAATATAAAAATACTTTAAGTAGATAAGTAAGTAGCGTCAACTAGGAACTCTAATACCTATTATAGATGAAGGAGAGGAGAGAACTATTGATCTGGAAGTATGGAACAAGAAGAAGAGGTAAACCGACGACCCCCAAGTGAGTGGTAACAGTGGATACGTAAATGTTAGATAAATAATTGGTGTTCTTCATTGAAATAGACATTATTATATTAAATCAAAACCATCCAAATCGACTTACCTACTTGTTTATTTAAATATTAATAACTATTTTTGAAGCTCATTCATTCTGTTATGAACTCGGTAACTAGAGATATTGTAAATATATCAAACATAAATCAAAAGGCCAGTTCCTGTGATCAAACGGAGCTATTTGTTTGGAATATAATTCTTTGGATAAGTTTTTGCATACACGATACATAACCAGAGGCGGCCGTGTGATGTAGAGGGCTTTGCGACTCAAAGATGCAATAAAAAAGAAAATTTTGGAAAATCCAAATGTGGATGAAGCAAACTTTTTTATTAGACAAATAAAACTGGGCAAAATCCTATATAGCAGTGGTCAAAATCACCCAATAAATAATCTCTATTGATATCTGATAGAGATTGCTGTGAAGCGATAAAGCCACCTTTTGTGCTACTTTTGTATTTTGTTCTTTTATGTGTTTTGAATAGTGAATAGAATAGAATAAACTTTATTTTATTTTATTCTATTCTTTTCCATATGAAGTTTTGCCAAATTTCATACTTCTGCGTGAGCGCAATTTTCGTAAACAGAGTTAAAGTTATTGCTGATTATTAATAGAGGTAACCAATTACGGAATAGTACCCATATTTAATATAGAATATTGGAATTTCTTTTTAACTTGCTCGTAATTAGGACAAAATTGTAATTTTCAATAAGTACAGTAAATCCGCGTTCCACTTACAGATTTCCACTTACAGTTTTATCTACAAAAGAATAATTTAGGAAAGACTTCCAATATTTCATGTTGGAAATGCTATATTTGTTTACTATCCTCTATTATAATGGTGATGATATATAATAATTTATTATATTTGATCAATTTTGCATAAATAATGCTATACTGAAAAATATTCTTAATGAAAATACTTAAAATCTCGTTTGTCCCTGGCACTCTGAGTTGGGACTAGAACCCGTGACCTTCCACTATCCGGGCGACTGCTCTAACCACTGAGCTATCCAAGACATAACAGGACTGACGAAATATTGAAGTCGCGAGGATTACGAAAGGTCATTGGTTCGAATCCCATCTCAGAGTGCCAGGGACAAAGTTGATTTTTAAGTATTTTGTGTGTCACTGTCGATGATATTATAATATTCTAAAATAGCAGTAGTGATGTATCAAATAAAGACCATTCAACAAGAATCTTTACATCATAGTTTAATGTCTTTTCTATATCTACCATGAAAATGAAATGCCTATAATGACGTTAAAAAAGATAAACGGATGTGGTACAATGTCATTTACAAATGAATTAAAAACCTTGTCGAAAATGTTACAATGTTACAATTGCTAACAGTGAATTATTATTATAAACGAGGTGTTTTACGAGTAGGTATTTGTGTAAGTGTTAAGTCGACTGTGAAATCGTGTGGACTGTTAACGTTTCATTTCTCATAACCATTGTTTTACTACACTTATACCTACAATTTAGTGTCCGACCGAAACTGGTTTTTACGACCGAAACCGTATTTCGGCAACAGACTCAGTTTGGGCCGAAACCGAAACCAAAACTTTCTTACGAAGATCATATTTTTAGGGAAAAATAAAGAAAATATTATTATAATCAGTCAGTCTTTATTTTTTATCGACTGTAAAGGAAGGGTTATGTTTTTCGCATACGTATATCTTTATGTATACTTTCTACTATGCGGATTAATATAATTGAAGTATACTTAGTTTTATTTTAGCAGTCCAAGTGTTCTTAGACTGATGACGTTAAGGAAAACAAACTTGATAGCACCATGGCTGACGTACGACGCCAGATTCAGATAGATATAGGTATATTTTAAAATCCTAGTAGCGCCATCTATCGGAGGCCGCGAGTAATTCTTCTTATTTTTTATGTTGATACTTTTCTCAAAAGTTGATTACATTAAATGTAATTATATTGTTTTATTTATACTAGTGGCCGCCAGCGATTTCGTCCGCGTTTTCCATTATTTTTCTCTTCTAATAGTTGCAGCGTGATTTTATATAACCTAAAGCCTTCCTCGATAAATGGTCTAATCAACACAAAAATATTTTTTCAATTTGAACCAGTAGTTCCTGAGATTAGCGCGTTCAAACAAACAAACAAACTCTTAAGCTTTATGATATTAGTAAAGATTAGCTTTCCGCCTTGCGGAAAGTTCCATACAAATTTCCCTTCCCATTCTTAAGAGGGTCAGGGGAACATTTATCTACCTTTTGTACCTTGAAAATTGGCGAATTTATCGCTCTTTTTTTAAGAGGGTTAAGGGCAGAGAAGAACAGACCATATTTTTCTATTGTAATAAACACTGCGGAAAGTGCAATACAAAATTTAACTAATCTGTTGCTCCGATCTGCCATGAAAGACGTACCAACAAACACACCTACACATTTGTAAATTAGTGTGGATTAGTTTCTTAAATAGAACAATTATTTGATGTTTACTATCTACTCTCTGTATATCATGTGACAAAACTTGCCGAATTCAAGATAAATCATACAACAACCCACTTAACCACCACAAAACTAAGCATCGAACAAAACCAACCGATCCGAGCGCAAAAACTACCGAATGCAGTTTCAATTTCAGTCGTAGTTTCAGCGGGTTTGCCGTCGAAACCGAAACCCGTTTTTTGCCGAAACTCAGCCAAATCCGAAACCGTAACCGAACTATCGATCAGACATTACTACACTTCTTTGTCATTAAATAGCTACACTTGCAGCCAGTTTCACAAACGTCCATTAAAATTGTGATATTACCCATACAAATTTGACATTAATTAGAGCTTAAAGGCGTGATTAAACCTTAATGGACGTTTGTACTACTGACCGACACCCGCGAAAACTTAACAGCGCTTGCCCAAAATATCGGGGACTCGATTTTATAAGGTACGTGATAATAATCCCGAAGATATACATCATTCAAGTGTTAAATACTATGAAATTAAAAAAAAATAAGGTACCACCTACACTGTACTTATTATAAAATATCTATCCAGGTTCAATATTAGTATAATCAGTTTGTGAATTCCGTAAACTAGTCAAAAATTTAACTATACTCTGATAACTCCAAGGTCAAAGCTAATTAAAATGAAGAACTGGAATGTTGTTCAAGAAACAATGACATAATAAATACTGCCTGAATATTTACTGTTCAACCATTTTAATTAATATTTAAGTTTATGTCGTTCACAATCCTCATTTTATTATATTTTAACAATATATTATTATTATTATAGCAAAAGGTGTCTAGTTCTTATTGTAGTTTTATCATATTCTTCTATAATTACCTCCTTGGCTCATTAACCCGTCATTCCTTTCATGACGTCATTCCTTGATTCACGGCAGTATGTAATATGAACTCTAATGACTCGTTCTCATATATGTTTATTATTACAAAAGAAATAAAACTCAAAACATATCAAATTGTCAGGTAGTACTGACCTGTGCTTTGCTCTCCCAGTCCATGCCCACCGCACAAATGACGCACATGACAATCAATGCTATCGCGCCAACAATCCTCACGTCGTTTACGCCATTGTCCACAATCTTGAGGTCATAATTTCTGAGGAGATCGTTGAGAGAGTCGCAGAACCCAATGGTATTCATGCTAGCTGCCACAGCGTTGGCAAAAGCGAATATAATGCCAACAGACGCACCGAATTCCGGTCCCAATGACCTGGATATTATGTAATAGATACCACCTGAAACAATATTAATTACAAATGTAAAGATTATACCAATTAATTAAAAAAAAGCCTAATATCTGATGAGTGCATGTCCGGGTCTAGCGAAACGATTATTTCAATACAAACATAAATTACTATACGTTTGTGTCGCTAAACCTCAAGAACCTGTCCTAGTCCAGGAAAGGTTTAAACGGTGGAGGTGATATGAAGTACACAGTGTCATCTAGTTTAACATAAATAGAAATACTAATTTTCCTAGCTAACTTTACCATTTTCACAGGTAATTGTGAACATTTTAGTTGGATTATGCCTACACTTTTAACGATAATATTTTATCTTATTAAAATACCAATGACTTAGATATATACAGATGTGGTGAATTCACGTTTCTGCGGGTCTTCCGCTTTATTTCTTGCAGAAACTATGCCTCGTTTTTACGAAGACATTTTTATTGAATATATTTTATTTCCAAAATTTCTCAGCACGGTCGCCAGTATATATGTAAGAAGTCAGAGTAAAAATTTTATATTAATATTTTTTACTTTTAAACATACTACTTTTGAATCATCCAACAGTTTTTTTTTTTCAAGAGTCCGAAGACGAAGACTGCAAAATACTCATTAATCTGAATACATATCTGTATACCCTAATTGAATTTAATGAAGTTCAATTTGATAACCAAAATAGATTTTCATGGTATTGAAGGCATATTTACTATTGTAACAACCTACACAGTTTAATGCATACAAACTCAGTCTTGTGAAAGTCGAAAACCTCAGTCAATAATTCACAAATTGAAATATTAGTAAAATGTTAATTTAATACAGTGTCACACGTTCATTAACAAATTAGAGTCGATAAAGGACGGTAGCTTTTTGTTTTAGAGTTCGGTTTTAACACGATCCATACAAAAGACCACCATACCTACCTCCTTTCACTTCTCCGTTTGTACATATAGCGCTCATTGAGAGTGTGGTGATGACACACACCACCGCCGATATCGCGATGATGACCAGTGATAGACCAATCCCTGCCTGCGATACCACCCACGAGATCCGTAGGAACAACATCACACCCCAAATGTTGAGCAGACATGGTATCAGCACGCCCTATAACATAACGTAAACACTATTATTTCTGCATTTGATCTTTTATGAATGAAGAGTGCATGTTCCTAATGTGTTTTTCTATAACTTATTTATTTAATACTAGCTGTTGTGCCGTGACTTCGCCCGGGAGTTATAGCCTACGTCAACCACGTGTTATGTAGCATGTAATGTAGTAGTGTTTTTTTTTTAATTGCTCCAGTAGTGTTAGAGCCTTTTGGATGCAAACATGGATCAGGAACAATAGTATTGTTATGCAGCTTTGCCAAAAAGTTGCTTAAATAAAATTTTATGTAACTTTTAACCCTCTCATGTTATACTTATATTATGTTACGAGGCAAAATGTGAATTTCACATTTACACCTCATATAATATTTTTAGAAATACAAGTCTATAAGTCTCAGGATTCTTTCGAACCTTAACTCTAAAGCGTTTAGGGCAAGCCCCTAAAATCATTATTATTTCAGATATACACTTACTTGTATCCATCCTAGTTTAATACCACCAGCCGGCGTTGGCGATTTTGTTTCTCTGTGGTCTTTTTCGTCCTGTAAAATAAATGTTGGTTAGAAAAAAATAAATAAAAAAAAACCTTTTATTGAAATTCTCTAAAAAGGGGGAAAATAAAAGATTTCTCTTAAATTTTAACTACCAACTTATAACCTTATTATAAAAATTTATATGATCTTTATGATCATATAATTTTTTAGCTTGTCGCGCGGTTAGAAGATATTTTGTGTCAAAAAAAACTAGTATCAATCCAATTATGTAAAATCTGCTAACCTCATGACAAGCTTTTATTGATCATATAAATGATGTATAATGACGTTATAATTTGGTAGTTAAAATTTAAAAGGAAAATTAAATTTTCTTCTTTTTATAACGTATAAATAAAATATTTTTTTGTTTTATATTTTTTCTTATTATCCTCGGCAAGCCCTTTCATTTGATACCCACATTGCAGAAGTGCATAAATAATAACTATTCCGCCATCTTGGATATTCCGCCATATTGGATTTATAATTATGTCACATTCTTTTTTAAGTTATCTCAACAAACCTTTTTATTTGATATCCATTTTATATATAGAAGTGCATTAAAAAACTATTCCGCCATCTTGGATGGCCCGCCATTTTGAATTTAAATGTCACATACCTTATCATGCATTGTCTTCCAAAGTAAACGTATCATTTCAGCTTAATTGGTTGAAGATATCTACTTCAAAATAGTGATGAGTCCCTCAATCATGAGGTACCGTTTGAGGTCCTCGTTGCGACAAAGTGAGAGAGTACTCGTTTTTCTACTTCGAACTACCTCATTTAGCTCCTCATTTTTGAGGCCTTGAGCACGAGGTGCAAACACATATAATATGCTTTACTCAATAGAATAGTGAGTTTCTTAGAATGTATCAACATATTAACCATTTATTGAGGGAGTGGGTCGGGTCGGTTTTATGAATTACATAGAACGACTTAGTTAAGTTTAGTTTAGCATTTCCTCGCAACTAGTGCCTATTTAATAGTATCTTAGAATGAGATGAATAATATTAATCAGCCGAAGTAAGGCAAACCAGTAAAAATGTACCATATTAAAAATAAGAGTAAAAATACCTATTTAGTGAAGAAAGAAATTAATAACCAAAATTCATTCTGCGTAAGACAATATTTTTGCAATAACTTGTCTCGCAATAATATTTCATTATTATAAATATTAAATACTTTTTTTTACCATTTAAAAATTAAACCTTTCAACAATCTTATTAACAATCTGTCCTCAATCGGAAAAAAAATTGAAAGATTTAAATTAATTGTGCTTTAATGGAATGTGAAGTTAGAAGTCAAATATTGAATTATCATTGAAATTAAGCACAATCTCAACTCAAACAGGTTTTCGTTTCTGATTTTAGTTTTTTAATGATCAGTGATAGCAGTTTGATAAAACTAGGACAAAAAATCAATTGATATTTTGTACATTGCTCATTTCAAAAACCGGCCGTAAATAATTATCATATTTCTTTTAGTTTCCGTAGTCTACTATATTCATTTCAATCTAGTATACAAAGCACACTAATGTTACTTTATTAAATGAGACAATATACTTCCCGTAAATCATATATTTCTTTGACGATGGCATTCGTTTTGTTATTATCATGTCAGTATGATGCTGTTGAGTGCTAGTCGCAATGGACCTTGCATGGTTATTATTCATAAAAAGAAATGCGTTCCACATTTATTATAGCCGTGCAATGTGCATCTATGATTGATTGATCGCAAATGCGCGGATGAACACTAATATACCATATGTACGACAGTAAATAAATTTTCCATACGCAATTAGCCATTTATTTATTTGATAATAAAAAACACTGTACGCTATTATATTTTATTTAATGTCTACCAAAGACCAAGTTTTAAGTAGAATTAAGTAGATATAAATTGCAATCTTAATTATTAACAATGTTTGGTACCAAACATTATTTATTAATCATCTATGAATGGTATGTTTGGTGGTAAATCCACGAACCTATGGATAAAAATTGAATAAAAAGGAGTTGACAAGTTTTCGGGTCGTTTATTAAGTAGATAAAGTTCCTTCGTTCTATAATTTTATTTTACCCTTTGATCAAAGTATTGTATTTGTTGAGACTATGTTATATCTAATGTGTCACTTGTATCGGCATGTCAGGATCTTATAACTCTCGATGAGTGCTTGACGCAGCCGCCATCGACAGGTTATGAACCGGACCGCTCTGGCTCACACCACTTCTTTAACTTCTCATTATCTTCTGTAGACGACGTAATCAACGGCAAATAGTCATTTAATTGGTGACAATCAACACGCTTTATTAATGAACAGCAAAATTTTGATAGTTTTATGTTGATTGTTAAAACTTTTATTAACTGTTTGAATTTTTTATCCTTGAGATTAATAATTAATCTCGTTTTGCTTTAAATGAATGATAATAACTATTTATCAGCTTGCCACAATGTTAACTAAATACTCAGATTCTTTATTTCAATATCCTTGGACTAGTTTTCTCAGTATGAGTTATGTTGAATCGATATTCAATCTACGGAACGTGAGGTACTACAAGAAAGGCTTTTCTTCAATTGGTATGGTAACGTATATAGCAAATTAGTATAATAAATGTAGTAACCCTGCCCACCTCCTCTATGCACTAGCAACAAGATTATATCTGTCACTATTGAAAACCAACAATGGTTTTTATTCAATAACCAATTAACCCATAATAAAAGTGCTAACTTAAAGGACTACTCTGTTTTGAAAACAGAGAAGTCCAAAACTGGAAGAGTTCGCTGTTCAAGCTAAGGCCGCTTATTGCATATCTAACGTTGTTTGTTGTTTAATAAAGTGTATAAATAAATTTCTTCTATTTGCGAAACGCTAACGACTCAAAAAAAAGTTTTTTCTATAAATTAAACATGGCACTGCGTCTGATGCGCAGATAACCGCCATAGAAATTGTATTAGCTAAATTAGGTATAAGAAATTTTCCAAAACATGTAGGCAAACGCAGGATCATAAACAATAGTGGGCTCTGACCGTGTGCTGCTGTCTATGAAGTCGAGTTTATATACAAATCCCTTGAACTTCTATGCACCGAAATGAATATATATGAATTGCTGTATATTCCTATGATTCAGATAAGTGATAATCACCGAAGGCCGTTTTTACACGGACGTTTTTGCCATGAAAACCTACGCTTATTCGTTTGGCGTAGACACTGTCTTCTGTGTATATTATCACACAAAACAATGGCAATTCAGTTGTTTTGGAGAAAATCTGTGTTAGGAACGATTTCATAAACAATCACATACATATTATTGTTACTGAAATAGGAAATCTTTGAATTACTGTAGGAATAGTGTCCACATTTATTTATGGGTTCGGGTATAAAAAGATTTGATTTTTTTATTTGCCCTCAAAAATCCTAGTCAATAAAGCGGCTGCGAACGATAATGCTTTAATGTTAGAACTCCATGACAAATAAATAATAAAGCCGTATCATGTAATCCAAACAAAACATCAATGGTGCTAATTCAATGCATTAGGTACCTGTATGCACATCGGTATGGCGGCCTAGATCGAAAGTGTAACAGCCATAAATAAACCTGAACCATTCATGAGATGAATTATTACGTTGAACCAAAATGCCTTTGCGACTTATCCAATGTTTAACTGTTTCTGAAATAATAGTTTTTTATCGCGTTTAAATATTTTACTGACATGACCTTTTTATTGCTTTGTAAATTCTATGCTTGTTGGTCAGATTCTAAAATACAGTCTTCTAAATTATTACCACTTTGTCTTTGCGAGGAGCTCGATGGCGCAGAGGTGAGCGCGCTCGATCTGCGATACTGTTAATCAACTTTTGCTAAGGCCGGTCATAGAATGGATGATCAAATATGTATTATCTCAAACTCCTACGTGCTTCGGAAGGCACGTTAAGCCGTCACTCACGACTGCATCTGAAGTCGCGAACATCCACCAATCGGCACTTAGCCCGCATGCTCATGGCATTCTCCCTATTCGATTCTATTTATAGGGTGGCCCCAGCAGCAGCTACAATTATAGTACTAGTACTAGTGGTGGTTGTACTATTAAAAAAATACTTATTAAAAAAGCTTATTATAAGGTGTCCGATCCAGCAACTGGATAGGACTTCTAAATTAAATGATTATGATATTATTATTAAATGATTATGTTATCATTATAAGACCGTAGATTTTTTTTCTCTCTCTCTCTATTTATAATATATTGAACTGGTAATGACATGGTTTTTGTAAATGTCTTACTCCTATTAGAGCTGGTGAGTTTCTCGCTCGTTCTTCTTATCAGCCAAAAGACGTCCTGAACGAGCGGTAGGGAAAAAAAATGTTGGACGATTCGAAAGTATTTTTAAGAAGTCTATTTGAATAAATATTATTTTGATGAAGACCTTTGCTAATTATAAATTAAGTTATATTTGAATGTCACTCGCGTATCTCCTCGATCCCGGAACGTCAGATCGCCTAGAATTAGGCCATGGAATAGCCATAGGATACGACATCTCAACAAAGATAAGATGACATTTCGTTGCATTTTACTAATTTGACATGTACTTTAATGACGACAAACGAATGATAAAGAAAAATTATCATGGATTTGACAACATTGTTATCAAGTTAGTAATTTATCCCAAACTTGTCCACCAATATTTTCTGTCATAGTTGCACCGATTCTGAGTAGATATAATGTTGGTGAGGCAAAGGTTACAATGAAACTTGCTAGGACTCTAAGAAGCTATACTAATATTGTTATTTTTCTGAATGAAGAATAAAAATAGATATAAAAAGGTAGGGTAATATTAAAACATTTGAATGTAATCGAGTGACGAAAAATAATTTCATACTTAGTAAACGAAAATCAACGATCCAGCAATAATGAGTAGATAATGATTCTAGATTTACGGATGACCAAAAATTAATGAGGTACCTCATGTAAAAAAAAAACAAATTCGAATATAATCGCTGCAAATGATGATAAATAATGAATGTTTGGATTTTTTTTATATATTAAAGTAATTAGAACCTTACATGGGTTACTATGTAAGCATATCTACATGATTCCCAGATGTTAATGTCATTTATAATGAATTAACATTACTCGATTGCGTCAGCACGTGGATGCGAGCGAACTCTAAACGCTTTCTCTCTCTAATTAGTCAATAAAAGTGACCGAACTATAACAGACATTGCCCCCACTTTGGAGATGGATGACATTCGATCAGTGTAAATACGCCACTATCTTATTTATTCTTGTACACACCAATACCGTATAGTACCTACGTCAGAGTCTTTAAATCATGATAATAATTTTACATCATGCATCGAAGCGGTATAAGTCGCAATGATTTATTTAATGTATGGTGTAAACAATATACTGTTTCAACCCTTAAAATTTTCCTTACCTCCTCGTTAATCAGATTATCTCCATGTAGTTCTCCCAAGCTAGGTCTTTTCAGGGCTCTTTTAGAGTTTCTGTAGTTCTCCATCCTCGGCAATGCCTCTCTAGTGAGTTGTGCGAGAGACCTCTTCCGCTTCCAGCCAGCATCGTGTAGCCACGTCTCTCCCTGCGCGGGCGCACCACGCTCCACTGACTCTGAGGTCCGTAACGGCCGAGAGATGATACTAGCTCCCATGTGGATACCATTTTTCTTGTTCTCATTCTCCACTGTAGAAACCGTGAATCTGCATAGCGACAATTTACGATAAGAACTACAATATAATAATCCAAAAAAAATACACTGATCGCTCTATCGTTAATTATGTACTTTATTACAGATAGTATCATTGTAAAAGGCTTGAGCACATTCGGAAAAATACCGGATAAAAGAAACAAAGGATATAGAAGCAGGAGGAGATTAAAATATACCACTCACGATAGAAATGATCGCCTGTTAACGGAAGGTGATGTCAGTGATGAACATCAAGGAAGCGAAAGGCGTTGATATAGAAAAATCTAAATATGTAAAAAACCGTCCAAGTGCGAATCGGAGTCGCGTACGAAGGGTTCTTACGCGACTCCGATTCGCACTTGGACGTTCTGTACCATTATCCATAAAAGAAGTAAAAAAAAACACGTTTGTTGTTTTCTATGGAGTTGTTCGAAATTTTCAAGTTAAATACAGTTGGTTGAATATTACTCGTAAACTTGTAAAGCCTACTGAAATGTGATAGTTTTCCTTTTAACTCCGTTAAATAAAGCTACTACTGCCGTAACGTTTGAATTTTTACCAACGTCCGTTCAGTTGATAGAGGGTCACAAACGGCTTGCAAAAATGAAAAAGGGCTTTCCCACATCCCCAATATTTTTGGAAGACCTATACACCTAATAACGAGGGGTAACCTCCCCACACTATGGGAAAGACTAAAAAAAATATGTTCTCACCTATATAATGGAGACACCCTAAAAATATGTTTTTATTCGAAATTTTACTTTACCACTTTATCGGCGTAATTAAATACTTATGCCAAATTACAACTTTCTAGTACCAATCGTTTTTGATCTAAATCACGAACACGGATGGATGGACAGACGGTTCGCCATACAACCTCTAAGGTATACAGCACCCAGACAATTAATAACTTAATAGCACAGTGGCTAGCACATTCAATCTGCGATGCCGAAGTTAAGCATTTTTCGCAAGGGTCGGTCATAAGGTGGATAGCCAAAAATTTATTATTTCAAACTCCTCCGTATTCGAAAGGCACGCACCGGGCCCACGTGTTGTCATGGCCCATTCGTCCTATCCGTTCCATCGGGTAGTGAAATCCTGCGTCCCAACAGTGAGGGCATTAAATGACTAATTTTGATGTAAAAATCAAGCCTAACGGCCCTCCGTACCCTCAGGCTATCCCGCAAAGTAAGCCGACGTATGTAATCGAAACTCAAAAAAAACTTTGATGACGTAATCGTTCACAGTGCAAGGCAGTTACTAACCGGTTGACTATATGTTAATTGTGATCAATTTAAATGGAACCTATTAATAAGTGAGTCAAATAAAATATTCATATAAGAGATGCGCAATGGTGTTTCAATTCAAGATGCATCCTGCCTGCCACTTGCAAGCCATTTATTTATTCACGGAATGATCTGGATATATAAAATGAATAATTTAAAGAAAAAAAAAAATTGTCGATAAAAACATGAAGGTTAATTAAACATACATTTTACAGTTATGTCAACATTTATATTTTTTTAGATAATGTTTGGAAATAAAATAAACAAAATACACTGATAGTTCAAGTTACTTTTTTTAGGATTGTCCCGATCAGATTGTGACAGTAGATTTTAAAAACAGAATAAAATAAATATTGAAGAAGAGGTCCCGTACAACAAACATGACTCTTTTGCATTTTTTTTCATAGATTACACCATTGAGGCACGGAATGCTTCTAGCTTCTTTTTTATGTAAAATTGCTTCTTTTTTTATGTAAAAATAGCATTTTTTATGACACAATTATATAAATATATAAAACCAGTCCGCTTGGCCTTGATAGGATTAGTTCTTTTTTAATTAATTAGATACGTCGGTATAGATTAATTCTCTTATACTAAGGTATTTCCCGTGTTGTGCATCAACGAGGGACTTTACCATGTTGTTAATCATTCGTCCAGTTCATTACCTGTTCTCTTCCATATTTATGTCGGTGGACTACCTCAAACAGGTTATAAAGGCAGTCACTTTCAGTAGTATTTTATTGAAATTGTGAGGTCTGTTTATATTTTCTCGAAATGTCATAATTATATCAGCTGTGTACCTGTAACAAAAAAATACGTGTTAAAAGGCAATATCTAAGTAGAATATCAAATCTTATGGTGAAAAAGATTCAAATTTAATAACCGAACATGTTATATAGTCCCTAATATGGATTATTTTAAGAAATTCTTTCTTCAATTATTCTTAATAGAGGAAAATTTGTAAGTAGTCGATAAGTCCAGAAAAAAATTGCGATCTGTTTATGAATTCGCATGGTTAATTTAAAGTGCGTTAAAATTTCTGTGAACAATAATTAACATATAAAATTATAAGAGAGGAAAGTGAAGGGTACGTAATACTTCGCCCATACATATGTTTGTTTACTATGTTTTCAAAAGTATTAAGTAAAAGAAACATAGTTTTCTATATTTTTTACTATATTCTAATATTTGATTGATGACAAGTATATAATCAAAGATTCTAACTTTACTTCTCGTTTTGTAAATCTTTAAGTTATGATAATTTTAAAATTTTTACTGAACCTTCGATTCCCTGTTGGCTTTTTTTTTATATCATACTTCTCATAGACTATTGATAAATCTAAAATATTTCAAATCGAATTTCTTAAAGTATGGCGAATATCATTCTACTCTAAATCTGTTTAAATAGACTCTATTGATTTAGTTAACTAAAATAGAGGTTAGTAACTGTTCTATATCCAAACATTTTATTAACACATTATAATAAGTACTTCTGTTATCAACGATGTTCAAACAAAGATCATTCTTGATTTGAGTTATTAAGCGATAAAAAATGTTGTCACTGAAGATGCTGTATTCATACATAAGATAATACCAGCAACATTAAAATCCCAAATGCAAGTAGATTATTTACTTTGGTAAAACACAAGCGCAACATGGAATTAATGCAAAAAAAATTTAGATTGCACAAATATTATGATTGCATAAGAATACTCAAAAATGTAGTTTTGTAAAATGGAACTCAGCAATTATATACTTGTTATTTACCTATACATATATGAAAGGAGATGTCCTGACTAACAGACAACGCACAGCCTATACCACTTGTGACTTGAAATTGGGAACGTTTGTTCGTCTTATTATGTAGAGGTGTACTAAGAATTTTTGGAAATTTCACCATACGTTTGTTTGAAACTTTATTTTGGACCTATGTCGAAGAAAATTGGTATTTGAGTAATTTAAAACCCTACAAAGAGGATATATTTTTTTCGTAATAAAAAGTATATTCTCATGTCAACCCTATACTATACCTGTAATCTCACTATTCGATTTGTTTAATTCTATCTATACTGAAGGCCTCTATCAACAGTGCCAACAGTGGAGACAGTAATAGGCTAATGACGAAATTTAATATAACGAATAGTTAAAAACTTTACTTTTATTGTTTAGACAGTTTGATACAATTAAAATTTTTAGTCTAGTTCACGTCATTCTTCTTCATAATATTATGTAAGTAATTGGGAATCACGGAGCTATAAACTACCTAATAACTATAGATATATCTTTGAATTACTAATATATCTTAAGTAATTCAATATCAAAATCTTCTCTTCTTTTTGAGTGAGTAAAAAACAATGTGATTGGTAACGGTATGCGATCATTCATTATCACAGTACAAAAAACTCGACGTTGTTGAGTCATCTTCGCATCGCGACCCATACTCGAGCTTTCCGAGTGGGTCTTGATTGCTACTATAGTGTCCGAAGGCTCGTTCACAGTGACTGCCACCGGTTTTCGCCGGATACGAGAAGTTTAATCCGCACCGCACTCGCACTAGGGCTGAGCTGCGTGCGTGTAAACTGCTTCCGAACTCAAGCCAGTTTAACGTAATAAAGAACGACGCGCATGCAATGTATATGGAAAAAGAGTTCTCAGTTCAAATAATTTTACAACATTATACCAAAATGTAAGGTCTAATTTATAATACTGGATAAATTAAATTGTTCATTTGATAAGACTTTTATTTCTCTGAAAGCTTACAAAAGTTGAACTTTCTATCGAGGTAACTTCTGATACAATTAAATGTAATAATAATTGTCAGTTCCTCGTGTATAGTAATCCTATTTTAACGTAATAAAGAACGACGCGCATGCAATATGTCCTTTATTCTGGGGTGGAGATACACTGATAACATGATAAAAGTGGATATTAATAAATTACAAAAGTTCTTTAAAAGATATGGCGCAGGCTGGGGAAAGGCATCTAATTGCACGTGTTTATATTATTATACGGTTGTTTATAATGTAACTAAACCCCGTATGATGTAACTACCCGTAGGTGAAAGAATTTTAAAAATTGATCCCGTAATTTCGGAGCCTATTCGATGCAAACAAACAAACATACAAGCAATCAAATCTTTTCTCTTTGTAATATTAGTATAGAAAGCAGCAAACTTAACAGGCCCGGGTCGCGGGATATTATAATTAAAAAAAAATTATTATGATAGAAAAGGCTTCAAACTTTAAAAAAGTGAAAAATGTTATTTATCTTAAAAGCGACTTATTCAAGAAACTGGTATTGAAGTCGTCTGAAGTTTTCTGTAAGTAGGATTTAATTAAATGATAGCCTACCATTCTGTTTCTTGAATAAGTATTTAGTTGATATTTGATGAAAAGCATATTTTGTTTTATTATAAACCACTTATTCGATTTCGATAAAATTTAAATGGCACCCACCTCGGGCATATATAAATAAAAAAAAATAAAAATTCACTCAACAATTCCAGAAAAAAAATCCAAAGCGCAAAATTATATTATTCGGATATTCATTTAAACACAGGAACTGGCAAAGAATCTATCTTCATCTTTCTGGGCAGGATGTCTTTCTTATAATAGTAATCTTATCAGATACTACTATTTTTGCAACGTTTTACCAAAAACAGCGCATTTCACGTTTGCGATCAATGGAAAAAAAAAATCATTAGTTTAAAGCGACATTACCCATACAAATTTGACTTTCATTAGAGCTTAAAGACGTCATTAAACCTTAATGAACGTTTGTGCAACTGACAGTTAATGTATTAGATTTAAATCTCTAATGAATCTTAGTTTAAAAATAATGTATTGGAAATAATGTATTGGAACTCTTTAAAGTAATGACAATTTCAATAGACATTTGTGCAAATGGGTGCCAGTATTGTTATTTTAAAATACTTTCATTTCGATTTTGTTTGTGAAGGAAAATCTTTTGTTCACGACAACCGATTGTATATTGTCTTATGCGCTCGGTGTTTTTCTGCTATATTACTGTAGTAGTTCCTACTCCTTAGCTTATCAGTATTAATCTTATCTTTCAGTGAAGTACTGGAGAACATTTTGAGAAAAGAATAATATGGTTTCTGAATTAAGAAAAATACAATATCTCAACTGATTATTTTCAATAACTCAAGTTTTTTACGTTTCACAAGTCAAAAAGTCCTAGTTTTTTTAAACGGCTAACAATTGATCATTAAAATAACTAAAAACAAACACAGTGAAAACATGTTAAGGTGACGTTTGACTACAGTTTGAGACGTTCTTAACTTTAAATTCTCAATTAAGAAACCGGAAGAAAACGTACATACAAGGCAACAAGTAGGAATTTGGAAATTTTTAATTAGGAAATTAAATGTCGTCTTCGTGAAAATATTTGACGAATTTGGATTAGAGAAGCTAAGGTTATTTATTGATTTTTATGTTAACACAAATTCCAGAAATTCAAGACAATGTCTGTTTGTGGTTAATAGAGGGTTCGCTACGGCTTTGATGGGAGGTTACAATGAAATACGATCGATAAGTAGCCGCACCCACACTTACCCTTAACTAAGTACATGTTTGTTTTCTGCGTAAAACTTAGATCATTGTTGCGTTTAGAATAAATGTATCTATTCCTTAATATGGACGTCATTAGCGTTACCCTGTTAAACAATATCCGTAGAACGTAGTTTTCCTTCGGAAATCTAACAACGTAATCAAAGTATGTATCATCACAAAAGAATCAAAATAGATTAACTATTATAAAAACACAAAATTGTAAGTTTACCACTACTTTTAGCGGTTAACTTTATTGTTAGGCTTGCTCATTTTGCGAAACCCTCCAAAGAAAGTTTTCAGTGTGTATAACTTCCGCCATGTCAAGTATCTTGAAAAAATCAATATTTTATCAACAGTATAATTTTACACTTAAAATTAAAGGTAAAAAGAATCAAATATATCTCTTTAAAATTTATTAGAAACGTAATCTAGGATAAACCTGTTAGTACATAAGGGTAGACATAAATATGTAATAATTATATGATTTCCTGTAGATAATAATGTTTATATTTTATTATTTGTTTAGAATAAGACTGGATAATATTCTTAGCATATCCTGAAGCAGTGAACCGTTATGTACTGATATTATTACGTGTTTATGTGTGTTTATTCAATGGAAAATGTGTCTCTATATTTACTTTGTGTTATTATTATCAAACTCTTTCGTTATTACGAAAGAGTTTTATTATTGTAGGAAATAATAAAAGGCTACGTGCATGTTTTGAGAAAAGTATTTTAAGTCTTTCATATGATCACATTTTCACCACTATCAGATTTATTTTTCTCTAAAAAGTGTTATTGAATTAAGACAAAACACGCACTTGCTGTTTGTGAAATATAAGCTACATTAGAAATTAATGCAATTTTTGATCTTTTTGCAATGCCTTTAGGTTATTATTTCACTTAAATCCCCGCTTGGGCTCCCCTACTATAATGATAGAACGATTATTTTAATGTGGCAATTATTTGTTATTACACGTTGAAAAGAACAAAACCCAAATATTTAATCTGTTTAAACTTTTAACTCTCTCGAAACAGTTTCTATGGTGTAAATTAAATAATTAGGTGTATTTTCTAACAAGTACTAATTAGACCTCCAAAAACATAAAAAATAATACTCATTTTAATGGCGGATATGTCCATGTTGCTATTAAAGTCCGACGTTCAAACAGACCCACATCTAAGGGGTCAAGTGGGGGCACTTGTTCTGGCCGCCAGTGTCAGGGGGC